GGGGAGAACACCGTTCTTGTCCACGATGTGGCCAAGGAACTTAAGTTCACCACAGGCGAATGAACACTTTGTTGGCTTCAGTGACATGCCGGCGGTTTTGATGGCTTTCGTCGAGGTAGACGAGGCAGCTCTGCCATTTCGGACTAGCCATTACGGTGTCCATGACACGCTGGAAGGTGGCTGGTGCTGTACAAAGTCCGAACGGCATCACTTTGAATTCATGCAGTCCGTCGGGAGTGAAGAAAGCAGTTTTCTCCCGGTCGCGTTGGTCTACTTCAATCTGCCAGTAACTACCCTTCAGGTTCATCGACGAAAAATATCGGGAGTGGCGCAGTCGGTCTAACGTATCGTCGGTGCGGGGGAGCGGATAGACGCCCTTCTTAGTCACAGCGTTCAGTCGACGATGGTCCACGCAGAACAGTAGGGTTCCGTCCTTCTTTAGAAGGACGACTGGGGACGCCCATGGAGTTCTTGAGGGTTGAATGATGTCGTCGTCGAGCATTTCCTCGACTTGATCCTGAATCACCTTCCTTTCCTTTAAGGAGACTCGATACGGCGGCTGGTGGACAGGGAGCACGTCGTCGTCGGTAATAATGCGATGTTTCGCCTTTGGTGTTTGGCGAACTTTCGACAACGTGGCAAAACAGTCACTGAATTCGGCGAGGAGATCAACCAGTTGCCGGAGCTTGGGAGCTGGGAGCTCGGGGTCGATGTCGAGCGGCGGCGGCGACGTCCTGTTCTGCTGTGACGACGAGATTTCCTAGAAGATTGCGGTGACCACGGTTGGCGCCTGAAGCCCCTCGACGTGGCCCACGGTGGTACCTTTCGTTAAATGCTGCGGCTCCTCTAGAAAGTTTGTCACAAGAACAGTTGTACGTCCTTCTTGGAGATCCGTTACGTCTCGTGCGACGCCACTTCCTTTCTCAAGGAGCAGTTGGACGCTGCCTTCCAGAAGAGCTTCACCGTGCACGGCATGCGTCGGTTGTGATGGTGACGAAAACACTCGACCGCGGCGGCAAGTTCATAAGGTCGGCAATAACTCGGATTGCGGTTGACGTCGTGTTGCTCTCCACCGGCGGCAGAACAGGCTTTCGCAGTGTCAATTGGTTCGCCCCGAGGTCGATGACGGCGCCATACTCTAAGAGGATAACGCCCCTCACACAATATTGTAGGACGGCGAACTTCACAAGGCATGTCTGGCCGTGAATTTCGACGCGAGCAGGGCACCTTCTCACAGGCGGGACCATTTCTCACAGGCGGGAATTTCGACGCGAGCAGGGAACCTTCTCACAGGCGGCCGCAGATACGAACCAGCGGTTCGTATCTGCGGCCCATCCCACAGCGTCGTCACTTTACGAAGACAGCGAAAGAGCCTCCCACTCAAAACTGAGTAGTCTGTTCCGGTGTCCGCGAGTGCCGATACGTCGATGCCGTCAATAACAACGTTTAAATTGTTGGACACCGTTGCAGGAGCATCATTGCAATACGTGGCGTTGGAGAGTGGGAGCGCTCCGGCGTTCTTCGTGGCTCTTTCCTTCGGTCTTTTTTGGCAACGCCACCTCCAGGTGTTGCCGCACTTAGTTTTCCCGGGGTCGCAGAAAAGACAGGCTCTCTCGGCGGGGTCGTGGTGCTGGTGACGCTAAGCGTCGTGGCGATGGGGAGCAGGCTTCATGGCGGATAGATTGCACTAAGGGGGGGCTAGCGTCGGAGGTACTCCTCGATGTCGTGAGGGCGTTCGCCGTACCTGGGGCGTGGGTCGTTCGGGTGGAACCTTCGCAGCCCCAGTTGTCGGTAGGGGCATCGACGGTAAATGTGGTCGGCTTCACCGTAGTGATAGCAGATGGGTCGTCGATTTGCTGTTTTTCACATGTCGGTTTTCTTTGGCCCAGGTTGCTCTCGGTGGTCGTACTCATTTTATTCGTCGTTGCTTCGGCGGTACGCCTGCGTTGGTTAGTCACGTCGTGGCGCCACCGGATAATGTTGAGCAGCTGGTGGCCGTCGGCGGGCCACTGCGGCGTAGGTCAGCGTCGGCTCATCGGCTGCGGTCACGGTGACAGGGGTATCCAGCAGGAACGTCCCGAACAACCTCGGCAATTGAGATTGAGGCGGGGCGCTCAGCAGTCGGCAGAAGCTTAAGCTCCTCCCGGACGAGGTCGCAAATAAGTTCCCGAATGCCCGGGGTGTCGTGGGCAAGGTCACAATGTGACTGCGAAATCGCGCTGACGCCGATTGTTCTCTGGTAATGGCTGGCCCGGTCTTGCAGAGCACGCTCGATATTCGTGTCTTCTGTGACGAACCATTGAACGGACGTCGGTGGGTTGTGTATCAGTCCAGAGAGGATGTCGTCCTTCACGCTGCGCATCAGAATACGCAGCTTCTTTTCCTCAGTGGCCTGAGGGTCAGCACGGGAGCTCAGGCGCAGGACGTCTTCCACGAAACTCGTGACGCTCTCATTGGGGCCCCGGGTCCTGGATTGCAGCAGATCATTGGCCCTCTCTCTACGGTGTTGATTGGCGAACGTACGCGTCAGCTCGTTCATTGCAAAGCTCCCATGAAGTCAAGGAAGCTTCGTGGTTTTCGAACCACCGCCTTGGAGTTCCTTCAAGCGAGAAATAGAGGTTTTGCAGGTGCTGTTCGTCACTCCAGCCGTTGTGGCGAGCCACGCGTTCATACTGGTTGATCCAGTCTTCGACGTCCTCGTAGGCCTCGCCGAGGGAGGTAGTAAGCGTCCGCAGAGCGATGGGTAGGACGACGACGGGCGAGATGGTCATCGTCGGGATCTTCTTCGGCTTCTGCAGCAGGGGTCCTAATTCCAGGAGTTGCTCTTTGGTACGGCGGCTTGCTCGGGCTTTGGCGTCTTCGGCGAAGGGTAGCCTTCCGGGGCTGAGCACGTCGCTTGACCGAGATATCTTCGGAGGGGTACGCTCAACAGGCATGAAATGCAATACCAGCACCTCCACCAAAATGTCACGAAGGAAAAATGCTGAAGCGTCGAATAAATGAAGACACTAAACGTTTAATGGAGCGAACTTGTGCCCAAAACAAAAATAGAGAAAGGCTAGCGTCGCAGGCGTCGATGTTGGCGAAACGCCAGGATCGAGCGCTTGGGTAAGAGTGAAACTGACTCCGGCTCGCCACGCGGAGCACCTTATGTACATGCGTGGACTTCTGGAATAATCGGCGTAGAACAAGCAACAGGATTCTCGAATTTGCCGGAACACTATATCGCAGGAATAACAAAAGATGCGTCGCTCCCACGAATCGAACCCTGCCTTTTCAAGTGGGAGGGGGGCACTATAACCGTTGGTAGAGTTCCTGTATAGCTACCTACGGTAGGGAGCCTATACAGGAACTCTAACCGTTGGGCCACGCGCGCGCTCCCTACTTGCCCAGCTGCGCGCGCGGCAATATAAGAACCATATAAGAAACTTGTGAGAAGTTTCTTACAACTCTCTTATATGGTTCCTATATATATATATATCATATAGATCTTATATAGTTTTTACATGGTTCTTATCTCTTTTATGATTCATATGTTTTAATAGACACATGAAATTTCTTATACAAATGGCTTTCTCACTAGGATCCTCTAACATATATTTAAGAAAGGACCTATCAAATTATATATCATTTATTTGCATCGCACATAAATTAAATATTTGCGTTCTCCGGAACGTGTCTTCAAGAGAAAAGTGAATTACCTTCAATGTACGACTAAAAAAAGATTCTTAAATTTTCTTGAAATCGATCTCTTTGCCCGGTGGTGACAGTACAACTTTGGATCACGATCACTTCAACCTTCGCAATGAGGTATAAACCAACGCGCGTTCCTGACGTCACGCAGCTGCGGTGGCGCTGTCGACGGCACTGCGCATGCGCAGAAGCTTCAGTTCACTCGAATTTGGTTTCTGCGCATGCGCAGTGCCCACACCTGGTGTGGGCAAGCTCGGGCTTGTTTGTAAACAGCGTGTCGGTTTATACCGACAACGAGGTGACACGACATATCTGCCCCGGGTAACCTACTATTAAAAAATTCCCTCAAAACAACTGGAGTGCCATCAACGGCAGCTTCAGCTTAAAGTCCCTAGATAAGAGCTGAAGCGCCGACTATGTGACGCTGCACGCTTTTAAGAAGTGATTGGCAGCTCACTGCAGAGGTGTGAACTGAATGCCGCCATTTTGTTCCAGCGGAATATGCTTCATTTGTATAGGTTGTGGTTACTTGTAAAAGAAGTATCAAGGGACTTTACGTCATCGGCTACTACGGCGCCCTCTGCATAGGCCCCTATATACGGCTGTCATCGCTGCCCAGTCTTGAGCGAGGACAGGATCTGCCAGACCATGCAGACCAATCATTGCGTCTTCTTGTTCGTTCAGGTTCGTTCAACTCCCTCGTCAAAGGTAAAACAAAACAAAAAAAAAACAATTTGTGCTTACTGGTGTTTCCGTGCTCACAAATGTTTTGTAAAACTGTGTGTGACTGGGCTGATGTAGTAGGCCTCCTTTTAATGGTTTCGGGTGACGTTGGGCTGAATCCCGATCCGACGAGTGAAGCCCAACTTAAACAATTTAATGAAATGCACGATATCCCTGAAGTAGTCTGTAAACGCTCCCCTTGTAAACGCTCAAACTCAGACGGGAATAATGACGTCAAAGGAAGCCGAGTCAATAAAAACCACCATAACTGATATCAAAGAGAGATTGGCTGAGGTCGAAAATAACACAAGCTTAATTATGTTCTTCTAAAAGATAACTGGGCTCTACGTACACGTCTAGACGAAGCAGAAGGTCGTTTTCGTCGCGATAATTTAGTTTTCTATGAGATTGCTCTTACAGTATCTGAAACCTGGACACAAACGGAGGAAACGGTATTCAGATTATTCAGGCCGTCACTAAACGTCCAACTAACAGATGAAGCGGTTATACGGGCCCACAGCATAATAAGTGCAAAGATGTTTTTTTCTTTTTTTTTTTTTTTTTATGTAAGAGGCTTTACTCACATGCAGAGCTGCTTTTGTGGCATTGTAGGTCGCAGAGTCCGGCAGAGCTAAAAACAAAAACAGTCAAGATAATTATACAGCACAATTAAAAAATTCACACATTTGGATGTCAAGTAGGTTTGTGCGAATATTCAAAATTTCGGATACAAATAGAATGTATTCAAAACTCGATTCGTATTCAATTCAAATATTTCCTATTTTGCGCTTCACAAATATGCTGCAGCAGTGGAGTATTGAAAAAAAAGTGACAAATACTTTTGCAAGGAATTAATTAGCGCGTTGCAGGGTACGCCTTCATAGCACAGAAGTTTTCCGAAAAATATATTATATATTCCAATCTCATTGTTACGTAAATCTCAAGTGAAAAAAATCGCCAACAATAGAAGTCCGTGGCGCGTTTGTGCAAAGTAGCTAACGCAGGAGAGTATTAATTGCACAGGCTGGACGCGAAAAAAAACAGAAGTTCAAAAAGGAAGGAGGAGGCATGAGAAAGGAGCTTCTCTTTTGTCTGTCATGAAGAAAATCTAGACACGACATCAAAAAGGAAAAAAAAAATAAGAATTGGTGAATGAAAACTAAGAAAGGTCGCGTGAAAATTAACGACTTGACGACATGACCTTTTTGTGTGTCATCCAGTCTCGATCATTTTTATAAAGTAGGCTTACCTGTCTGTAACACTAACGCATTCCATCACTCATTCATTCCCAAAACCTCCTTAGATTGGAGCCGCCTGCCCACATTCAAAAGCACTAGAAAAGGACACTACGTCATTTGCTCGTGAAAAATGGGATATGTATCATTAAATCTCATTTTAAACACGAAGCAGAAATCGAAAACCAAAACTTCAGCTCCGTCCGGCAACATGGGCCGCCAAGGGCCACATTGGGCTCGGGTCGCCTCTGTCCCGCCGGTCCCCAGCTGGGGAGAGGCATTCCCTTGCCTATCCCCAGCTGGGGATAGGCAAGGGAATGCCTATCCCCAGCTGAACCCTCCCTCCCTCCCTCCTCCGGCAAAGGCATTCCCTTGCCGGAGGAGGGAGGGAGGGAGGGGAAGAAAAAATGTTTTTTAAACTTTTTTTTTTTTGTCCGTTCTCTTAAAGGTTATTTTGGTGATATCCCACATTGCCTGGTGATAAGGGAAGAGAATTGGCATAGAAGGGCCGGAGGAATCCTATCCTTGTCTCTTTAGACCTAGGCTAGGTGACGCAAGCTGCCGCCCGTTACAAATGAGTACAACCATTTTCATTCATTCATCCAGAACAAGGATATCACGTGGTATCAAATGTCACTTGATTCGCTAAGCATCTACGGGGTGAGGTTGGGGTGGGATTGGGGTGGCGTGTGCCAGGCGCAAGTGTCGTCTGTCCCGCACTCTTTACCACGTTTGGTGTTCTTGATCATTCGACGACGTTTGCACAACTGCGGCATAAGTCTGCGCACGTAATGTCCGTAGTGTGAATGAAACGCCGAGACAATAATCACATACGGTGAGAAGACGAAGCGGTGTTGACGCGGGACCGCAGCGGGGCGGCCGTGGTCCTACCTTCAGATTGGCCGACGAGCTCCCATTGTCACCTCGCAGGCAACGCTGCTGGGCACCCGCCTTTCCCGAACGGAAAAATCCGCTCAGAGAGGGGTGGGTCCCGACATTTCATCATGTTTTTAATGGGAAAATTGGCATCGCGTGATTGCAATGTTCGGTATTTTAGGATTCTTAGGGCCCGTGGAATCAGTTATAACCAAATAAAAGACAATCACAGAACCCTCTTTGCTGCCTCCTGTGTCTAAAAGCGATGCCGACCAACGCAAGTCTTTTCATCATCAAATTTTTCCCATTATCATGTGCTCGCAAATGGACGTGTATATTGAAGGCGTGTTGTATAAACTTTCGTTTTCAAACACGTACGGATTTTACTTAGAAGTCATCCCGGATTTTAGGTCATCATGACTCGTGCCACACAGGACACACACATCACTGAGAGAAGAACAACTTCCATACCAATCTTGCTCGCACAGCTACTGAGCACCACCACGTGACCCGTTCTCCTCTCCAACCAGTGTGGAACCACCGTCTTGGTCAGGTTCACATGGCTGAACACATTCAGGTTGAACATCGCCTTGTGTACCTGCACAACGACAATCATTTCGGATTAGGGATCCCCATTCTTTCCAATACTTCACCAAATCTAAGCTAATAAAAAGGGTTTTTTCTTTAAGTTTTTTGCATCGGTTTGTTTAATAATTCCTGTTTAAAACGTTTGCTTTTAAACATTTCTTTTACGGAGTCCTCATTGTACTTGAGAGAATAGGTATTAATGAAACCACATAAATTAGCAATTCGACAAGTGATACGTCTTCGAAAAGAATATGATAGTGTAGGTTAGCCGACTGGATGCTTACTAGTTGTGCTATTCAAAGCGTGTAATTAAAACGTAAAAAACGCAATCAGTATAAGTGTAATCGTAAACAAAGTAAATACATGGGCTCAGACTTGTACATAGTTAAACTAATCAACCCAAAATAATTGTAGTTTGACTACTTTTGTGTGTAGTTTAGTAACTTTTAATTACATTTTTATTTTGGTAATTAGTACTTTACTTACTTTTTCAGAGTAACCTCAACTAAAATATCAAATTACTTTCGAATTTTAGTAGCAGGTTCGCTTATCAACAAACATTCCTGCACAAACAGAGTCAAGATGTTGGAAGTTCAGCTGATATTTCCAAGGAGAGGGAAGCATATGGCACATGCAGGGGGGCAGGGGTAAGTAGTTTTGAGGGTCCGAAACCCCCGATAATTTTCACGAGCCCGCCATCGCAACAAACCTGCTACGAGGCGTGGGGAGCGGACAGACACGTCGCAAGTGAGGCTGAGTAACTGCGGGATTAGCGTCGAAGACTGGCATTCCTTTGTGTCCCGAGGCTCAAGGAGACTTGACGTATTTAAAGAAGGGGTTTGTCCCAGCTTCTCCCCAACGCAGGAACTCTCGCCCAGTATAGGAGGTGTACCCACCGCATCCTCACTGGAGGCCACAAAATGCAGCACTCGCTCTGAAGCTCATCTGGTGCTCCCGTAGTTTGTGCTCTACTTGAAGAACCGCGTGCTAAAGGGCAACGCAAAATGACCTCCTTTCCGTGGCCTTTCCTCCAAATACTCAGAATATATGGGTCTTCCAAGATTGGTGGATTGTTCGAGGAACCTTAATGATTCCCCCGAAGTTTTTACATAAAAAATAATAAACAGTCAGTGTTGGGAAGCACTTGAAGTGCATGGTACTTAAAGTGTACTACTTCAAGTAGGGTTAGAAAACGTGTACATTACTTGAAGTACATTTTCTAAGCATGTGCTTGTACCGTCCTAAATTATTTTTATGGTACTTTCCGTGGAGAGTACCAATACTCCCGACTTCAAAATACATTCCCCAAATTTGAAGAGAAAAAAAAATTGTTTTGTTATGTGAAAACGCGCTATCGTCTTTCGAAAAGTTGTCTGGTCATTTCTCCGAGTGAAGTAATGGCGGCTATGAGACCGATACAAATAAGTGCCTTATAAGTTGATTGTGCGGAGTAGTTTGTGACCGAGAATAAAACATCTACACTATATGGCGACTAGACTTCATCCAATATTTACCGCCATTTTCGAAAAAACTGATGCAACTCCCATTACCTTTAGAGCAATGCGCACGCCAGTTTAAAAACAAAGGAACATTGTGTAGTGAATGAAAGGGCATCATGAAATATTGTGTTAAAAGGTACTTGTACTTTACTTTGAAAATACATTGTATTTATAGTACTTTACTTCAACTATATTGCGCCCCGTGTGCTTGCTACTTAAAGTACATAACCTCTCGTTGACTTTTTACTTTACTTCAAGTACTTGTAGATATAATTTACGTAACAGTGTAAACAAGGAATACTGTCTGCAAAATCCAGCTCAGGCAGTGCTAAAACAAAGTACAGATGAAACATCCACAGTACATCACTGACCAAAAAAAAAGTACAAAACAAGTACAAAAGCAGTCACGCCGAAGAGAGACCAGCTATAAAACACAAGCCGCTTTATATTTGACTAGCAGAACTTCGCTAACGGATCAAAACCTATGTAGAGTCTTATTATCATAAAAAAAAAATATAAAAGTAACTTCAAAAGTACTTTACTGCCCGACCATCACCCGGTGGTCCGTCGTCTTTACTTTGTTTTTTTTCGTTCCCCACACATCCCCCCTTCCTCCCCCCTTCGAGGAAAGGGGGCGCTTGTTATCCCCTGTTTGTGTGTTGCCAGCTCCTATGCGGGCATTACAGGGGGAATGTAAACGTCACGTTCCGGGAGCCGACGCTGAAGCCCTTCGGAATAATTGTTGAGCGGTGGAAGCGGATGAACGACAAAGGGACGAAGCACTGATGACGACACCGAGGCGGCGCGCCATCATTTGGGCCTGGCACATTCGAGACATCACAGTCTCTACAAAGCCGTTGGCCCAGGTGGTCTGGCTCATACACTTGTCGATTACTGAAGTGGCGATGAAGAATTCGGAATAGAAGCAGCTTGTGCAACTCTGAGCCCTTGCAGTTCTCGTCTACCGAGGAGTTCCTCAGCTGTTCACAGCTCAGTTGGGTGTGTTCTACCGGCACTCTCCCGGGTGCCCGTGTTGGACAGGAGACGGTTGGCATCTCCTCCTCTTCCATGCCAGTAGGGGATCGGTGGTGTGTGTGGGGTGATCAGGGCCGGTGGCGGCTGCAGCTTTTGGACAGCGGAGTATCGCAGTTTGGCGGGGAGAGGCTGCTGGAGTGTGGATTAGACTTCGTGGAGACTCATGGCGAACTTCACCGATCGTTTTGAAGCACGTCGGGATCGACTTTTCTGGGGCGCGCCTATATCACTGGGCGATTGGGATTGAGACGGACTTGTTCCACTCGTCGTTTTGGATCAGCTCCCACTCCAGATCTCGATCCAGATCGGAGAAAAGTTGCTCCTTCGATTTCGGCGGACTCGGCCGGAAGCCAGCCTGGCCAGCTCTCGGCGCGCACAGATGATTTCCTTTCTCCCCGGGCAAAGTACCGCCCGCTCTACACCATAAGAAATGCCTGCGCGTCTACTTACCCGCAAAACACTCAAAGAGCCGATCTCTACGATCTGGGAAATCAGCTCAGCGAATGATGAAGCGGAACATCCGTTGAGACCTCAAAACGAAGTCTGCGCTTGGGCATTACGCAATGCAAAGCGTCATGCTTGCATTGCGTAATACGACAGCGCAGACTTCATTTCGAGGTCTAAACAGATGTTCCGCCTCATTATTCGCTGAGCTGATTTCGTAGATAGCAGAGATTGGCTCTTTGAGTGTTTTGCGGCTAAGTAGACGCGCCGGCATTTTTAAGAGAGTACTACTGGTGCAGCTTGACGATCGTTCGTCGTCAAGTTGCTCGAGCACTAGTTCCTCCAGCAGCAGCGGCTCGAGTAGCAGTGACGACCAGGATTACTTCTATGTCCCGCGTGAACTCGACTGCCTTTTTGCACCTCCGCAAAAGAGGCCGAAAATCAAAACGGACGTGGACACCATTCATAGATATTCCGATGAAGAGGCAAGTGGGCTACGCTGATGCACATCGCTCATCGACACGCATCCTTCACATCGGGATTAACTTCGCTCGTACGTTGAACACGTGTTATTAGCGCCACGATTACGAAACCATGTTCTTTGAGACCCGGGACCGCTGGAAAGGGATTCCCGGGAAGGTGAATGACGGGAAGGTGAATGAAGTCGGAAAGGCGTTCGCCGATCCCGGAGAAGTGGTTATGTACTAGTGCTTTTTTGTGAGTAAGTTTATTTCAGGGTGTCGAACCGGAACCGAACCGAAAACCGGAACCGAACCGGTATTTTTTCCGGAACTGAACCCGAACCGTTATATTGTTATCGCGATGAACCCGAACCGGAACTGAACCGGAAAAAAAATTACGGTTACCGGCTCATGTCAAAACGGTTCGGCCACGCGCTGTTGACAATGAATGTGCTATCAATGCCATTTGTTTTTTAAGTGCCGTCAACTGACGCACACCTCGCTTACATATTTTTGTTAGTCTTAGGAATATAAACGCTGCATCCATGAATCTTGAAAAACGCTGCATCCATGGATCTTGACATAAAAACCAGTATTGCGCTGGTCGCGGCTTGCACAGAAAGAAAAAAATTGGAAGGCTGTGCAAAAAAAAAAAAAAAAATATCGCGTCACGGGATTTCATTTTCCTACAATCTCGTAAATCCTAAATGCTGCTGTGTGCTCATTTCATAACACGTTTCTAGAACGCGCGAGTTCTTGAAGCTTGCTTCCACCGGAATGAGAAAAGAAAAGGCTGTGGAGTTTGATAATAATGCATCTGGTTTCGTATAGGCACCTAGAAGCTAACATGTTTGTGAGACAGCGAATTTTTCTATTTTAATATTTATCCTATTACGTCCTTCTGGCGCTGCGTTCGGTGAAGTGTTTTTCATATTCCGTATCTTGTTTAAGGGGGGACATGGCCTCGAAATTCAAATTTTTCTGACAAAACGTTTTTTTTCAAAAAGGATATGTTTATGTTTATTACTTCAGAAGAATGGTTTCAGAAACTTTCATTTATAAACATGCAGGATTCATCTCGCAATAAATTATTTTCGACAGGTCGGCAGCCCTCCGAGTCAGCAGGGAGCAAGTTTTTTGTGTTTTCTATTTAGTGCTGCTTCATACTTATTTAACATAGCTAGAATATCTTGCCCCCATTGGAAGTGCCATTTACTCTAGATTTTGCCCGTAGAAGCTTTCCAAGTTTACAAGTATCAATGGCCAGGAAAGCCATATACATCCAAACAGAAAAAAACCTGAAAATTTGGTATGGGCAATCTTATTGATTGAGACCTGAAACAGGGTTTACGATTGGTCATTCCCAGTTACGTGATAGTCTGTCATCTTCAGTAATGCCTCTTTTACGGTATCTTCCACTTCAGATCCTATTCCTGCTTTGCTGCTCTTCTTTAGTGCAATTTTCCTCTTAGTTCTTGCCAGTTTATCTGTGAAGGTATGCCTGCTGCAAAAGCTAGCGTGCCTACAAACAACACAAACTGGTAGCTATTGCCAGGGGAATAAGGAAGTCTCAAAGAGGAAGGTGCTAACAACGCACCAGGTGAATTTCGCCTACCTCGGTCTCACAGAAAAGTAAGAAACCTAAAGTTGAAACTTCAACTGCATTTTTCTCGGTTTCACTTTTTGGCAGGAAATGTGGTATGAGGAAATGTATCATTTGACATCTCGAAAGTGTAAAGATTTCATTCAGTGGTGTCCTGGACTGAAATTTTCTGAGGAACAAGTTAAGGTACTCATAATCTGAGAAAGCTAAATTCTTCACGACAAAAACTGAATATTTTAAAATGCAGAAATTTGTGAAAATCCTTTGCTCTTTTTGGGTGCTGTTGTTTTTCTTTAGAATTGCGTTTTCTACATTTAATTTTCACCTTAACTTGCATTATGGGTATTCTACTTCACATTAAACCAAACATTTTATGGATTGCAATTATTATTTTTCTAAAATACATTTCCTAATAAAGTAACTTTTTTTTGGAGCTTGTGAAGCATAGTATGTTGTAGAATTGGCCTATAAGACTGAAACTTTAGATGTCATCAATCCTAAGGGGGTTCAATTCACCCTGAAGGTTTGAATCGATTTGAGACAATGGTTCCAAAGTTGACCCTCCCAGACCATGTCCCCCCTTAATGAAAACTTCGTTAAGGGTCTAATTTGAGTTACCTAAGGGTAGGTCAAATAAAAAAAACTGTATTTTCTCCCCACTGTTCCTTCAATTGCTTACACGCCGAGGTGGCGGGATAGTTAGCGAGTTCTATTTGTAAGTCGGTTTGTAAGGAGGTCGCGGATTTTACAGCTACTGCGTCGGACCCAATTAGATGAAGTCCGAATGCGTAAACGTCGGTGAGGTAACCTTTGAGCGCACATAAAGAAACCATTCCTGGTAGAAATCCCTGAGCCTTACACTACGATGTATCCCGTTTCGTATGTGCTGATTTCAGATGTTTTATTTGTAATATATTTTGATGTTACAATTTGTCATTTATAATTTCCGAACCGGTTCGCGAACCGGTTCAGCGCCCCGAACCGGTTCGCGGATCGAGTTAATCGAACCGGAACTGAACCGGAACAAAATAAATTTACCTGAACCTGAACCATAACCGAACCCGCATTTTTTTCGGTTCGACACACTGGTTTATTTACTGACTAAATAGTCAAGCAAAATAAGACTTCAAGCTTTTATAGCTGCCATACAAACAAAATATTACATTTTCTATTTATATTATTTTATAAAGCGCTGCATAGCTAGCTATACAAACCAAAATCAGCCAAATGAAAGGTGGGTTTCTTTAGAAAATCGACCTCCAATTTGCAAAAAGTTTAAAATAGCTCTTGCTTTACGAGAATAGAGTGCCCTGTCTCTTTTACACACAGCATTACATTTGTTGTCAATAGAAATAGTATGCTCTTAGCTTTCTGAAAATACTAAATATATGTCAAATAGGTCACACGGAAAGAGCTGGTCAAATTTCGATAAATATTGTAAAAGGGACACACTTTGACAATTTTTAAAACAAAAGTGAATTTAAAATAATCATAATAAAATTATTGACCATAAATAATCCCTGTTTTGAAATTGGCCGAAAAAAAGTTACATTGCACGACCAAAAAAAGTCAAAAAGTAGAAAGAAGTGTAACATGACACCTCTGACAGGAGAGAGAAAGGTCAGTTTGCGCCTCGGCTGCTTAAAATGCCCATAGCATCGAGGACGAAAAATCGCCCGAACTTGCGGTTTGCACTGCCTGTCACAAAAAGGTTTTCCCCAAAACATAAATTTTTTTCGTCAAAATTAAAAATTCTACCTCAAATTCGTGCCCGAGTTGAGATGAAGCCACCCATATGCATATTATAAATTTCTTGGTTCAAGCTGCAGATATAAATATTGCACCTCTAAGGTCTTTGGTACAATTATGTTGCCTGTAACGTGTCTGTGACTGGTGTGTTTATTGTCCCACACCAACGAAACACCAGAGGATTCTCGAAATACCAACGAAATACTTCACAGGATTTGCCGTGTAGTGATATTAGGGAGTTTTAGTAGACCGTGTTTTCCCCTCCGCTAACCCTCCGCTACGAAGAAACCGCCACTGCGCCTGCGCGCCGATGGCCTTGGCTGTAGAGTTCCGGGTAGCGGAGGGGCTTAGCGGAGCGGGAAACACGGTCTACTAAAACTCGCTATTAGGAGTTTTAGTAGACCGTGTTTCCCCCTCCGCTAATACTCCGCTACGAAGAAACCGCCTCTGCGCCTGCGTGCCGATGGCCTTGGCTGTGGAGTTCCGGGTAGCGGAGGGGCTTAGCAGAGGGGAAAAGACGTTTTACTAAAACTCGCTATTGGTTCTCGAAATCCTCGCATTTCGTTTTCGAAACGCTGATGAGAAAGATCGGTGGAGGAAAGGCGTTGCCATTGTTGCAGCGTCACAAGTTGTCCCTGTAGATTCCATTGACTAGGCGATAACAGAGTGGGCGAAAGGAGAACAGGCGTTAGCCGGATCCATCTGAACAAGTACCGTTAATAGGGCTTAAGCCAGAAGTGATGGGAGCACTGCCGTAAATCCATGGCGGCGAGTCGCCGGCAGCAGCTGCAGACCAATAGGAGCGTGCGCGTAGCATATAGGATGTGGTTTCAGCCAAAAATGGCGACGCGTCGCCAGCATCCAATAGAAGCGTCCTTGGCACGACTAAACGATGGAGCTATTTAATAAGTCGGATTATGTGATACTTTAAATATATTTTTTTTAGAAGACAAGGTTAATATACATGCGAGCTGGGTAACGTTACACACGATTCTGACCGGAGAGAACGGACGACAAATGAGACAAGGGACAAATTCAAACGTCTCAATTTGGGACATGCGTGCTTGTCTTTGGGCTTCTTGTTGTCCACTGTTTCCGGTGAGAATCATCTATATCTAATTTTGTGCATTACATTGGAGTTATGACGCCCCCTGGAAATCGAGAAGACAAAACAAAGACCCGGTAAACAGTCGGAGACGTAGTGAAGTGGAGGTTATCATCTTATTGTCCTGTGACCTTAAGTAAGCCAGGCCATGAACACACTTCCTCTGTAATCTCATTATAACGTTTTCTACCTGGTTGTCTTCATCTTAAACATTTTCCTGTACGCGCAAAAACGCCATTTTTCTCTTGCAAAGTGTTCACGTTTTAAGCTTAACTGTCATTCGTTCTTGTCCTCGCTTTTCTTTTTTTTTACCTTTTTGGAGGTCGAACGGTTTCATTGTTTTGGTCGGCATTACCCTATACGGGAACAGCTCGGTTAGTTCCTAAGCAAGTAAACAGAAAAATGTATATACATCAGTGTCGAGAAAACTTGACCCGGTCACACTGTGCCTAAAATCAGACCATGCAGCGGAATGAACAGATCTATAACCAGGTGGTATATCACATCTAAATAAACATAAAACTGTCGAGCCGTTTTATTAAATAGATACATCGAAGATCTCACAATTAATTCAGGTTTCAAGACAAGACACCTGACAGACGCCATCAACCTTCCCTCTGAGATAGTACTACACCATGTCAGTTGGACCTGCCTGCAATAACAACTACACAAGCCATTCTGGAGTGTCGACACTTACCTCCATCTCAATGTCTTGGAACTTCGCAGACTGGGATCTTCCCGCACTGTTCACCAAGATGTCCAGACGGCCAAATTTCTCCAGGACGGAGTCGAAGGCGCCGCGGTGAGACTCGAATGCCGTCACGTCCAGGGGCAGGACCAAGATGTCCTTCTCCGGCAGCAAATCCTGCGCTAGAAGCCAGTCTGCACTTCAGCTTTCTCTCAATTTAGTCGCTTAGGCTGATTCCTGCACTTGCGACTCCTTACAACCGAGTGCTTTAAAACCTCTTGGGATCTCTTACGACGAGAACGGAGCCGTGTATAGAGACAGTCTGGTCAATGGGAGAAGGCGGCGGAAGCCGGGCAGAAGCGGTGGATGCGGCCGCGCCGTCAGCGCCGCATATTCCCCCCGTGATGGATGAACTTGGGAAGTAAGTATGCTCTCGGATGACCGTGAAGGATTCGAGTAGCGCGGCGCAGGTATGATTCTTTTGTTTCCGGATGAGGCTGAAAGTACATGAATGTATACTTGTAAGAGATTGTTGGAAAAGGGGAGTTTCAAGGTGCTGAGTGCGTTTACTGAGCCAGGAAGGATGACAGTGACGTGAAAATGTTCGTGAAACATGAGGCGACACTGCGAATGCGGGGTGCGCATTCGGGATTTGGGTCAAAACTCTCACGAAGTTAAATCCGCAGTTTTTACTGGGTAAGAATGGCTAGTTTGGGGGCTAGTTGGTTTTGCATCGTGGTGTAATACGCCAAAACAACAAGGACGAAAACGAAGGGAGAGCCTCTGCCCACTACGTCGTGACCGTGGCTGCAAGTGGAGTGCATTCGTGAAAGGTGGCCCCGGAAAAGAATGCACGCTCTAGCGAGAACGAGCTCCTAAGTTCGCTCGTTCGAGCTGAACCGTCAATCTGGGACCAGGGGCCTATTTTTTCATCCTTCTCCACATGGGCACTGCCATCATGAAATCACGTGACGTGGCAGCCATTAGGTTGCTTCAACTTGCTGCTCCGCTCCTCCCTCCACGCCTTGGCGGATGTTTCGTATTCGTGTCGTTCGTCGCGTTTCACCGCACTTTCCTGCCTTAAGCGCGAGACACATGGACGACAGAATCGTCCGATCCGACAGTCCGAACGCCGCTCCGAATTGCCGCACGCGACAGTTTGAGACACACGCTTCCGACCTCGCATGCGACACGACGATCCGTTCGGCTCCGCCCAGGAGATCCAAGCACTCCAGCGGAGGTCCGCGTTCATAGATCTCTGGTCTTAGATTGACGGTTTAGCTTGCACAAGCGAAGTTATTAGCTTGTTCTCGCTAGCGCGTGCGTTCTTTGCCGGGGTCATCTTTCTCGAATGGGTCGGCGGGATCCACGCGTACGGCTTCCCCTCGCCCGTCCCGTTATCGCGTTCGCTTCGTCCCGCCAGACCCAGTGCGTCATCATGACGTTCGCGCTAGCTGTGCTGTCATTGGCTAGACGCATCCGACAATCCGTCCGCCGTGCGAAAGTATCTGGCGCGTTGGACGCACGTCGGATCGCCGATCCGAAGCGACCAAATTTTTCGGATCAGGCAGTCGTATTGCCGGATCGGACGTCGGATCGGATGGATTTTTCGCGCATGTGTCTCGCGCTTTACTTCGGAAACTGTAGTCCGATACGTCTACTCGACGACTAAGACATCACGAGGGTTTAGAGGTCCTCATGAAAAGTGATGTTTCTTCACTAATAGTGACGGAACATTTTAGTAAGAAGCGAGTATATACGCCTCGCAAGTGGGCTCATTTTCGTCTTCTGCGCATGAGAAAGGAAGTAGCGGTGACGTCAGAACGCCGAGCCCTGATTGGCTGATCGCGACCGCCTTTCTCAGCGTCGTCTGCTCCTTTGCAACGTCGTCTGCTCGCATCATCGTCTGCGTCTGTCTTACCTTTCCTGCGACTTTCAGAAGTGCAGAGGCCAGATTCATAAAGAACCTCTTACCTACGACAACTTAGCTACGAAGTTCGTAAAGTTACGATCATCGTAAGATGAGGCGAGAACGGTATTCACAAACGCGTTCTTAAGTGAGAGGAGGAAAGTTACGACCTCCTACGGAGAAACGATGACTTCCGGTGCTGTTGCTATGGCAACGGCGTCTTCGGCAAAACGAACAACCAATTAGAGAGCTGGGCATAGTTCGGAGCACGTGGATTTTTAATAACAAACACAGGCTAACCACTCGTTGATAGACAGCTCCGTGTATGTCCTGTCCTGTCTGTGTGTAAATGTGTAGTGTTCAAGCTGATTCTCATAAACGCGGGCGACCTTTCCACCACCGGTTGTCTGGGGTTCGTGTCCGTGCAGTGGTATATCGACGCTAACAACGATGCTAACGCTTCGTTGACTGCTACAAACTCGATCGCTACGAAGTCAACACGACTGTCATCGTTGGTAAAAGCCCCGTGCCAGTCGTTTGCAAAGCGACGTAGAAGGAAACAAACCGCCGCGGCGTTTCTCGCGTGCTCGGAAATGCAGGAGTGAGCCGACGTTAAAAAAGATACGTTTGAACTCCGAGAGTGTCAGCAAGAGTCACGCAAATACCTGTTCACACTCGGAGCGGACGCGTGCGTTTGATCGAAGTGCTGGATTCAGACTGCGTTTCGGTAAGCGCTTCGGGACCGATCTTCTACGATTGCAACTCGATACTGACGTGACACTCGGCAAAGAAAGGTTGGACCGGCATCGCGTAGCTCCCACAAACTGATACAGCTCGACAGTTAAAAATGGCATACTGATAATAAAGTGTACATACCGTGTTGCGAAGGTAATCCATACGGCGTTTATTTGAGCTCTATATCACACAAAACAAGGAGATAGAATCGAGGAGTCCCTTTTCGACGACAGCTTTCGTCACCGCTGCCTCGGAAAACAAGGTGATCGAGATGATAAGGGGAATCGGTTGACCTCTGAAATTTAGTTCAGCTATCAAACTATTCATACGGGGAGGGTCCACAAGGGTCGCGCGGGCATATTCCATTCAGCAAGCCAGCCGGTCGTGGGCAGACGGTCTTGGCCAAGGACCGTCTGAGCAATGCTGCGCCGGAACGGGTCGGAGTGCCTGATAGGCCTATATATTCTGTCGAGCTCGCTTGGTCGGTGGGATCGTCGCCTTTGTTGCCTTTTCCGGGTGTCTGGATCCAGCGTTCATGTTCGTCGTGGTCGGTTTCAAGTACTTCTTCATTTTTTTCTTGCTGCTTGAAGTCGGGACGCGCAAGAAGAACAGGCAGAAAAATAAATGTCCGTTGGGTCGTCGCGACCGAGCAACTGAGCGACGTTGTCGGCCATGTTAATTTGATCGTAGAAAGTGCGTAAGACAGCTTCAGAGCTGTCGTAGGATTTTGTCGTAACCTGCGCAAAAGTTACGACAATTTCGTTTCGAGAATACGGATTTTCTCTCAAATTTGTCGTACGCATTTTTTTCGTCGTAAGTTCGCTTTGAGAATCTGGCCTCTGGTCTTTACATGCGAGCTCGACTTCGCCTTTCACAGAGGGCAGACGAAATAACTCGAGCGGTACGTTGTTTTTGTCTAACAACTAGCAGACGCGCATCAAGGAGGGAATTCAGAGGACTCACTGGCGAGGTGTCCCGAGGCGCCAAGGTTTGTTTACTAAGAACCGGGAGGTGAGCGTGCAAGTTCCCTCCCAAATACTTTGTCCCTCCTTTCGTGTGCGGCGAGACCCCCCATTCTTTAACACCGTCGGCGGGTTGGCGCAGTTGACGTCGTCTGCTCTACGTCTGCTAGTCAAAGCGATGGCTGCTTTACCTTTCCTGCGTCTGTCGGAGATTCACCGCTTTTTCACCGGCGAGAGTCACCGTTGCCTCGGGAAACAAGGAGATAACAAGAGGAAGAAATTGACCTCTTAATCCAAAAGTGAGGTCAGCGATCAAAGTATAATACGGGAAGGGTTCACAAGGGTCGCGCGGGCATATTCCACTCAGCACGCCAGCCGGTCGTGGGCAGACGGTCGCCGAGTCCGGGAGTGCCTGCTAGGCCTAACTGCCGTGCTCGCTTGGTCGCGTTCGGTGGAATCATGGCCGTTGTAGCTTTTCCTGGGTGTTTGTGGATCCAGCGTTCTTGTTCGTCGTGGTCTGTTTCAAGTACTTTTTACTTTTTTCTTGCTGCTTGAAGTCGGACGCGTGAGAAGCGCACATAAAAAAAATAAACGTCCGTGGGTCGTCGCGACCGCGACGCTGTCGGCCATGCTGATTTGATCGTAAGAAGTGCGTACGACAGCTTCAAAGCTGTCGTAGGATTTCGTCGTAACCTGCGCAAAACTTGCGAAAATTTCGTTTCGTGAATACAAATTTGTTCTTAAGTTATGGCTTACGCATATTTTTGGCGTAAGATCGTTTCCTGCGACTTACGAAAGTCGCAGGAAAGGTAAGACAGACGCAGACGACGTTGCAAAGGAGCAGACGACACTCAGATAGGGGGTCGCGATCAGCCAATCAGGGCTCGGCGTTCTGACGTCACCGCTACCCCCTGCGCAAGAAGCAGACGAACTTGCCCTCCGCATAAGACAGACGCAGGCGACGTTGCGAGCAGACGACGTTGCAAAGGAGCAGACGACACTCAGATAGGGGGTCGCGATCAGCCAATCAGGGCTCGGCGTTCTGACGTCACCGCTACCCCCTGCGCAAGAAGCAGACGAACTTGCCCTCCGCATTTACTTCGCGCATTTAGGATCGGAAGGATTCAAGAATAGTCAGCGCGAGGAGACCATCCTTATTTCCTTAAAGTATCGTTCTTTTAAGTCATAATATATCAAAAACAGTTTCTTTTGATTATGTGAGGAAACCCGGGAAGGAGATAGACAACGAACGGTGAGCTTGTACTTTATCTGAGGCTAGAAGTAATGGTACATCAACATCAGGTGATTTGTTTTTTTTTTTTGTTTTTTTTTTTTCATAAAATCACACCTACATGTAATTAAAGTTCTCAATTTTTTTTTTTTTTGCGATTTAAACATTTGGTTGGTCGTTTTACTTATGTAGTTTGAGGAACTGTATACCGTGCTCGCTCCCATTTCGACAGTCATTGAAGTGATTTATTCATTATCTTTAGATAACCAGTGCCGTCCACTTAATTTATTTTAACACAAAGGTTGCAACTTCCCGCGCAAGAAACTTCGAGAGACACTAAACGGT